TTTTTCAGTAGCCTCATAAAGTGAATAAGGAAGACTGTAGAAGAATTGATGCATTTGAATTATGGTGTTGAAGAAGAATATTAAAAGTACCATGGACTGCCAGAAAAAAACCCAAAAAAAATGTGTGTTGGAAGAAGTACAGCCAGAATATTCCTTAGAAGTCAGATGGCCAGACTTCATCTCTCATACTTTGGACGTTTTATCAGAAGGCACCCACCCCTGGAGAGGAACATCATGTTAGGTAAATTTGAGGGGTCAGAGAAAAAGAAGATGACTTCCAACAAGATGGATTGGTACAGTGGCAGCAGCAATGGGCTCAGAAGTAACAGCGGTTGTGAGGATGGTGCAGGACCAGGCAGTGTTTTGTTCTTTTGTGCATCAGGTCGCTATGAGTCGGATCTGACTCGACAGCACTAAACAACAACAATTATTTATGGTTATCAATTACAGTTGGAGTCCTAGTGTGGCACTGTGGGTTAATGCACCACACTGCAAAAGTTGTTTGAACTGCATGGTTGGCAGTCCAAACTCACCAGTTGCTCCCCAGAAACCCTATATAAGTTTGCTATGAGTCAGAATGGACTCAATGGCACTTAACAATAACATCTATTATAGCCACCCCTCAAAAACCTTATACATGAGTCAGAACCATGAGCCAATGGCACTTAGCAACTTAACAACAATAATCGATTGCACTAAATATAGGGGTGATTTGTTATACAATAATAGATGACAGGGTGAAGAAGCCATCCATTCCCTAGTGCTGAGGTATTGAAGCAATACTAGATTGGTTGTACTAAGATATGTGTGTGATTGTGTGTGTGGGTACGTGCATGTCCACAGTTCTTTTAGGCTAACTGTCCATTCAGCAGTGCAGCATTCACTCCACTGAATGGGTCACTCATTCTTGTAAAAAAAGACAAATGTGATTGAATTGACAATTTAATGAAGATATTAGTTGTTGTACAGTCCTGGTGTGGCACTTTGGGTTAATGCACTGGACTGCAAAGTCAGTTTGAACCACAAGGTTGGCATTTCAAGCTCACCAGCCACTTCTTGGAAACCCTATACAGGGTTGCTATGGGTTGGAACCAACTCAAGATCACTTAACAACGATATTAGTTGCTGTAGAGTTGGTTCCTACTTATGGAGATTCCATGTATGTTGGAGTCAAACTATTTCATAGGGATTTCAGTAGCTGATATTTTGGAAGTAGATCACTAGGTCCTTCTTCTGAGGTGTTACTGAGTTGAGTCCAATCTCCAACCTTTCTGTTAGCAATGGAACATGTTTGACTACCCAGAGACTCCTGAATAAAGATAAGTAACATTAAAGTAGCATGGGTAATCAATAGTCATTTTCATGTTTGTTGTCCTAAGACAAAGGTAAGGTTATATATTACTTTATTGTCAATGCCTGATTTTAACCCACCATGGACTGGGACCTGAAACTTGATTTATTGTCATTGTCTGGAAACATTACAGTTTTGTAAATTTCTGATGCACCATTTTTTTTTTTCTTTAATTTACAAAAGGAAGGCTCAATTATGCCCCACTAGTAGGGAAAATTCAGGTAAGGTCTATGAAACATTTTGAGCTCAGTTAAAGACAAAATCCTCTAACTTTCCAGTAACAGAGTAGCAGTAACATTGAAGTCATATTTGGAACCAATTGGGTACTCTTTGTCATACAAAAGCTGAGATTTTCTCTCTATATCAAGATCCTTTACCTTATTTTCCTTTCGAGACCAAAAGCATCCATTTTTTCCTTTTCCTTCCTCCCTACCTTCCTTCCTTTTCTTTGCTTCTTCTTCCTCTTTCCCTCTCTTTTTCTTTTTTCTCCCTCCTCTCTTTCTCTGTCTCTCTCACTCTTTCTTTGTTTCTCTCTCTTTCTTTCTTTTCCTCCATGTAAGAGGACAGCCACCAGGCATTATGTTGCAATTTAGATAATGTGAGTAAATAAAGTTTTTTTTTGTTGTCTTTTTTTATTTTTATTTTTTTTTTCTTTTAAATATTGAGCAATAATCTCCTATCATGCAAGTCCCACTTTGGGACAATATTAGGTCCTTTTGGAAAGCTGCCTTAACTCTTTGGGGTCTCAGTGGAACCATTCAGTGAGTGATTGCCTCTCTGCATCAAATGGCCCCCTGGTGGCCTCCAGAAGTGTCCATTGCAGTCTCAGGAAGGGATCTAAGCATTGGGAGCTTCTGCTCAGTATACAATTACTGTTCAACTCACAGTGCTCCAATTTGCTTTATTGTGGAGTGGCTTCTGGAGTCCCACTGCTCGGGAGGTGGTGTCTATGATTCTGAGTCAACTGTCTGCAAATTGGTCTTTGAGGGGATTGCAGAAGAAGCACAGAAATTTGTTAGAGAAAGATTGCAATGGAGCTCTCAGTCCTGGGAAGGAAATAATCTTAACATACAAATGTCAAGTAAGAAAGACTGACTTTGTCTTCCTAAGGATTCAAGTTTTGGTTGATAACTGTTTCCAGGTGATGACTATAATTTCTTGGATAAGCAAATACTAGTTGAACACTGTCCTCAGTTCATAGAACTACAGTAACAGAAATGCTAAAAAGTACGTGGCTCTAGCAAATGGTAATCCAGAGGAAGGCTTTCTCTTTCAGTCTTTTCTGTCACCATACAGCATACAAAGAAGAAAAGCATTTCCAATCAACTACAGCTGCCTGCATATACATTCTAGAGCCCATTCCCCTCCCACATCTGATGGGGATAGTTGCTAACCTGAATTTGGCAAGTATCATTCCCTGTATGTATACTTCTACTAGATACATATATGCCCATAAGCAATAAACATACATTCAAGGTTTTTGTGGAATCATACTATAATATACTTTAGTAACTTACTTTTTCTACTTATTGTTTTATTTCTAGGGTTTATCATGTTGATATATTTAGCTCTATTTCTTCTTGAGTTTTATATTGTTGCTGTTAAGTGCCACTGAGTCAGTTCTGACTCACAGTGACCCTATTTAGGGATTCTGAGGAGTGGTTGGTGAGCTTGAACTACTGACCTTGCAGTTCAAACTGACATTGCAGTCCAGCACATTAACCCACAGCACCACACCAGGTCTCCTGAGTTTTATATAGTATTCCATTATATAACTGTACCACAACTTATTCATCCATTGCCTATTGGATGAATATTGTTTTCCAATTTTTCACAGTCACAAATAATGCTGCATAAATGTTTCCTGTGCAAGTATAATTTTTCTGGAGAATATATCTAAAGGTGGTCTTGCTAGATTGTACGGTATGTCAATATATTAGTCAGGATTCTTCAGAGAAACAGAACATATATGTTGTTGCTGTGTGCCGTTGAGTTGGTGTTGACTGATAGCAAACCTTGTAAAGGGTTTCTTAGGCTGCAAATCTTTCCCTTAGGTGGCCACTCAGGAGTTTTTAAGATCCCAGATGCTGCTTACCAAAGTAGGGTATAGAACATGGTCTTTGTGAACTCTGCTATGCCAGTTGATCATGCTGTCTCCTAAAACTGTGGTTCTGAGTCCTCAGGCCCAGAAACTCATTGTTTAATAATGTCTAAGACATTTTCATCATTTTGCCAACTGTAAGCACTGGACTGCTAACCAAAAGGTCAGTAGTTCAAGTACACCAGCCACAAGGTTGTTATGAGTTGGATCTGACTTGACAACACTTAATAACAAAACAACAATCTTCCATCACATTTCATCGTTGTATCTGCAGCAAAGGTACATATATCCTTTTTCAAACCCTTTGGTATTTGTGGGTATACTCTCAGTCTTCCTCCTATACCCATTCAGCCTTGTGTATCTGATCATGTATCTAACCACAGAACACTGTTGTTCCAAGGTTGTATACATAACTCTATTTACCTCTATTCCTATTGGCCCTGTGTCTTAACCTGTCTTCATCATTCTTTTGCCAACCTCCCTCTTCCTGTATATTGCCCTTTTTCTCATCCAACTTAACATGTACTGCCCTCTAGCCAGTGAATCCCTCTCCCTTCCCTCCTACCTCTGGTAACCATCAAAGAACAAGCCTTTTAGCATGAAAACCTTCTCTTGAGTTTTTACATTAGTGGTCTTATTTGTCCTTTTGTGATTGACTGATTTCACTATTCCTACATTTGGTTTTGTGAGAATATAAAATATTTCATTATAGTTTTAGTTTACATTTTCCTTATTATTCATGATTTACTTTGTATTTTATTTCTATAAATCAAACAGTTTAAAAATTTTAGTTTGTTTTCTATCTGGTTATTTGCCTTTTTTTTTTTTTTCTTTCTATTTTTAATCCATTTGTTGGAGTTTAGGCACTAAACCTTTGTTATTGCACTGCAAATATTTGTCCCAGTCCATGTTCTCCTCTTCACTGTTTTATAGTATCTTTTAATATATATATATATATATAACAATTCTAAATATTTTTATTGTTTTAGCAAATGTAGTGTCTACATAGCAAGAAAACAGTGGAAATGATTTTCTTTTGGGATTTTGAATTTATCCTAGTGAAATAACCAAATGACTAAGTACAACATATCTGCACATGATTTGGGGACTGTAAAATAGAATTACAAGGGAAACGAGGAAGAGAAAGTCCTGGAGAATCCCTATGGGAATTAGTGGGCACATGGTGGGACCACTCATGGATGTAAGGAATAGGAAGATGCAGTGTGTTTTGGAGAAAGTAATGGATTGGACTACATGGTTTGTACAGTTCAGGTGCATGCAGTTAAGGGGAGATGTTCCCGGGTTGATTGGATGTATGGATCTGGAATGCAACAGAAAATTAAAGACTTTAGAGACATTGTCATAGGGGTATGGTTGAAACTGTGAGGGTGTATGGATTATTGTCCTTTTTGACTCACCTGAGGAAGGGGAGAGAAGCCATTGCTTTGGGATGAAAAGGAGGGAGACGAAGTGATTCTGGTGACTTGCTTTGTAGTACTGACATTTCTGGCCAATATTTTGATGGGCTCCCTGTTTGCTCCCCTTCAGGCCTGGGAACACTCTGTGGGGATCATTTGCTTTCCCGATATCCAAATGCTGGCAGAAGATGTGTCCCATCAACTTGCCCAAGAGATACAGAAGGCTCTTGCTGGAAAGCCTGCAGGTAAGAGAACACAGGTGTTAGAGAAGACTTTCTGGAGGATAAAAAAGAGGGCTGACCAGCTTTCAAGACGCTCATAGCCCTCAGGTTAAGCATCTCCCTGCTTTATAGTGGAGTTTTGTAGAGTAGTACTTTCCAAACTGCACAATGAACCAATTCCACTACTGAGTAGAACTCAGTTCTCATACTGAAAATGAAGGAAAAGGCTTGGGGAGGAAGGATGAGAGCTCAGTTACCCCTGGGAGACAGAGACTACATTTTTACCACTTTCATTCACCCTGCCCTCTTGTCATTAACATACACACACATACACACACACCCCAAAATAAGACAAAAACCAACCAGGACAAGGCTCCTGAGAGTTCAGTGGAAAGCATGATACAGAGAAGACAGAGTTCAGAGCATGTTGACTGCTGTGGAGTCTCCTCACTTGCAGTTTTCACTCTTTGGAACAGACCTTGGAGGACACCAGAATTTGACAATGGGCTTGGGGTTGTGGGGAGGAGAGAATTCCAAGGGTAGGACAAACTTGAGCATGGTATGGATTTTAGGCATGCTGGCATGTGAGGAGCTGTACAATCCAGAAGTGGGGTAATAGAAGCTTCTGAATTGTGGGGACTCCAATTGTTTGTTCTCATTCAATGGCAGTAACTTGTTGAACAAGGGGAGTGGGATGATAAAGATTGTCCTTCAAGGAATTTAAACTGCAGAATGTGAAATATTTGTTTAATTCAGGTGGGGTTGGGGGGTGGTAGGCAGTAGGCAGACATCCTGTAGAAGTGTTAAGATAAATCTCAGGTGGATGGGGAGTTGGGTGGCAAGTCCCACTGCACATGTGACCAGTCATGCTTTCTTTACTTCCTGTATTCTTGTCAGAGCAAGCACGGACAATGGCTGGGAGGTTACTACAATGGAAGGGGGATGCAGATCAGAGTGGCTACCTGCTTCTGAAGTCTGTGTATGTGCTCACAGGAACAGACTCGGTAAGGTCCAGGTCCTATCAGCCATTGTCTTTTACCTTCCTCCCCACTATGCAGGGTCATGTCCCAAGGGTTGCATGGCCTGAGAATATCTCCTTTTTATGAAGCTCCTTTTTTCTTATTTTCCTTGCCATATTGCTATTGTTGCTAAATGCCATGGAATCAGTTCTGACTCATAGCAACCCTGTATAGGGTTTCTGAGGAGCAGCTGGTTGAGTTTGAAGCACCAACCTTGCAGTTCAGTGCTTTATCCTGAAGCACTACACCAGGACTCCTCCTTCACATAGAGGACATAAAGTTTGGGGTATGATAATCAGATGTGATCCCTGCCTTTTCCGTTGTTTCACCTACCTGCCACTCATCTGTGTTGCTTATTTGAGGGTTGGGAATATAACGGGCAATAATTTGAATAATATCTTTATTATTGCATTGTTGTTAGGATTAGTTTTTTGACTATTTATTGCAGAAAGAGGATATCAGATAAGAGGCTGATACCTGAAATTAACCAAAGGACAACTTGACTTCTTGTCATAAACTACCATGACACCTGCCAGGCACAATGGCTTTCAACACAAAACAAGTTCCTTTTGCCTCTGGGAAAGAAGAGACTTGTCTTCAGTCTGAGTGGTGACAGATAAATTTAGGGCTTGTTTTCCCAAAGCAGTAAAAGGAGGGGGTGGTTGGTTGTCAGTGGAGCCAGTGGAGCATGTGGAAAATGTGGAGACAGCCACCCTGAGGGAGAGACCATCATGGCAGAGCCAGGTGTCAGATAAAGGGAACTTATTACCCTACAGTGGAAACTTTTAGGGAGAAAATAAGTTACCTGCGTAATGTTCTCAATTCGGGAGTGGACAATATGAATATGCTCTTCTTCTTTGTCTGTGGGGGACATTCTATTGGACTGATCATACACTCCTGCGTGGACAGTGTGCATGCATACAGAGTTTGCAGCTTTTCTAACCTTGATGGAGCTGCAGAAAAGCTTGATGGTGCAAGAAAAGCTGACAGAACGTGCATGGCTGTTCCTCTCCATCTCTGCCAACTCCATATGTCTTCTCAGTCTCTCTGATGGCATCTGGGACTGCTGGGGTTATATATGTTGTTGTTGTTATTATGTGCCGTGGAGTCGGTTCTGACTCATAGCAACCCTGTACAGGGTTTCTGAGGCTGTAAATCTTTACGGGAGCAGAAAGCCTCCTCTTTCTCTTTCGGAACAGCTGGTAGTTTTGAATTGCTGACCTTGTGGTTCGCAGCTCAATTCATAACCACTATGCTACCAGAGCTCCTTGAGGTTGTATATAGCTGTCTGACATAACAACTTAGCCTATAGGGCCATTTTGGTCTTGGTGAGGTCTTTGGTCCAGATGAACATGAGTAGCTCCCTGGTCAGGCCCATAATTAAGCTGTCTATTCATTTGCAATCAGTCATGCCCTTCTGACTGAGTTTCTGGTTCCATAACCAGGAGTTCTGGTGTGGTGCTGTAGGTAATGCATTAGACCACAATGTTGGTTTGAACTGTAAGTTCAATGCTTCAAAACCACCAATCGCTCTTGGAAACCCAATACAGGGTTGCTCTGAGTCAGAACTGACTTAACAGCAGTTAACAACAATTAGGAGCCAATTGATCAAATTCAGCCATGTGAATTGCTAGGAAGCCCTTGTTTTCTACTTTTCCTCGCTGTCTCCCTCTCCCACTCTGTCACCCCATCCCTCTCTTCCTCCCTTCCATCAGCTGTTTACTTAATTCATCTTCACAAAAGCCTCAGGTAGGGCTCTATCATTGTCTTTATTTTACTCTTGAAATCCAGAGAAGGGAAAGAATCTAAAATGGTGTCTGATGCCTGTTGAGCCTCTAGTTGTGTGTTGTACTCTCTCTCCTCTTCCCTTCCAGAAGACACTGGGTCAAATTGCTGAATCTGGACTCCCAGCCCTGCTCCTACAGTGTCTTTACCTCTTCTTCATCTTTCCTCCTGAAAATGATGAGCTTCCAGAAAACAGCCTTCAAGTTCAGAGGATGTTTGTGCAGGTAAGTCAGAAGAGAGTGCCTCTACCTCTACCTGGCCAACCCCTTGCTGACTCCTAAACACATCTCTGAGATGCTTACCTTTCCTTGGATGGCTCTGGTCACCCAGGAATGCTAAGGCCTCTTTCTCAGTCTAGTCCCAAAGCACCTGTATCCTGCTGGAGTACCTGGCTCATTTCCCTCCTCCATTAGCTTCAGATGCCTTGGAACCCTATGTATTTAGATGTGGATTTTCTTCTTGTCTTCCCATCTCATTATATAACAGTATCAATATCTCCTTTTTTTTCTCACCTAGAATGAGGTTTTCATCTTCCTTCCAACAGCTGCCTCCTCTACTTGGCTACCCTACTCTACCTACCCCACCTAGCTGCTTCTCATCTAGTCTGTACTCCTTTGTTCTGTCTACTCTTCCTAGCACCTGAAATCCCCACTTCTGGCTCCTTCCTCTTTGAACACAAGCATGCTGAAATCCCTAGGGCAATGTGCCTCCCATACATGGCCTCCATCAACCCCAGAATGTGTATATTATTGTTACACTGATTCTGTAAATGGAGATATTAAGGTATGGGAGTAAGCATCAAATCCAGGGTCACAGTAGGTAAGGGAATTTTAAAGGACACTGGGAATCTTTCTCCAAGTTCACTTGCCTAGTAATGCCACCTCACCCACCTCTTAGAAATCATCCCTGGGCACTAAGCATCAAGTGCAACTTCTTCTTGTCATTGTCATCCTTCCTTGCCTATCCAATCAACCAGCAGCTTATTAGAAAAGCAAAAGTATGTCCTTAAAGGAGGGAATAGGTCTGTCTACCATGGAGTGATAAAGACTGAGAGAGGATCTCAGGACTGGCTTTTTATTAGTTATATTTTAACATATGAAATTGTTGTTGTTAAGTGCAGTGGAGTTGGTTCTGATTCATAGTGATCCTGTATAGGGTTCTGAAGGAGCAACTGGTGGGTTTGAATTGCCAGCCTTATTGTTTACAGTCCAGTGCTGATCTTACAGCACCACACCAGGAGTCCAACATATGATAATAGAAAGGAGAATATTCATGGATTTTCTGGGAGTGGCAGGGGAATTCCTGGTGTCACTCCTTTCTTGTCTTGACTTGGTCCTGGTTAAATCTGTCATGGACCCTGTGGGTATGTGATTTAGTATTATCATGAGGTAAGGGACATACTTCGATCACTAGTTCCCCAGACTGTGCATGCTTCAAGTCTGGACATTCCCTTGCCTCAGGTTTTCTTCCTCATGTGGTTAACTTATCTGATTGATTGGTCTCACCTGGTGAGGTCCCCTTGATTGATAATTCAGCTCCTGATACCCTGCCTTTTGACTCCCATGATGTCCCTATAGAGGCAGAGTTATCAGTGCCTTTAAAATTAGTCAGACTTGAGAACCAATTTTGAATCATCCTTGTGATTTTGCTTCTCTGGAACCATTTGGTACCAATGACTTAGGCTGGGATCTCTAGTGTAGCAAAACCAGTGAAACTTATATATGTATATATGCATATATATGCACATATGTTGTTGAATATATATATGTTTGTATGTATAAAGAGAAATGGCTTACAATTGTAGAGGTGGGAGAGTCCAAAGTCTGGGTCAGATGAACCAAGATCAGCAGGGAGGTCTGGTAGGCAGACAAGCAGGTAGATCATAGAGCAGGCAACTGGCTGAAGTCCAAGGAACCACAGTTTGAAGGATGAGCCAGATGCAAGATCCAGACCCAGTGGAAAACATGCAAGATTTGCCTGAATGTCCACTCTATTGGAAGCAGTCCACACTCTGAAGGAAATATCCTTTCAATTCATTGGCTGCTCATAGGGAATCATCATAGAGTTAACTATGTCTGTTCATAGCTAATCATCATAGAGTTAATGACACGTTTCATAGTCAATCATCATAGATTTAACTACACTGTATTAGATTTCATCAAGGGAGTATTCACATCTCAAATTCTACACCATTGGGAATCCTGGCATAGTCAAGTTGACACAAAACCTGAACAATGTCCTTCTCTATGAGGCTTTCTACTCCCGTAAAGATTTACACCCTCGGAAAGCCTGTACAGGGTCGCTATGGGTTGGAACCGACTTGACGGCACTTAACAACAACAACAACAACATGATAACATGTGCAAAGTATGAGAGATGACGTTTCACCATCCTGGTTTTTAAAGAGCATTCTGGCTGTACTTCTTCCAACTTAGATTTGTCTGTTCTTCTGGCAGTCCATTGTACATTCAATATTCTTCATCAACACCATAAATCAAATGCAGCAATTCTTCTCAACTCTTCCTTATTCATTGCCCTATTTTCACATGCACATGAGGCTATTGAAAATCCTATGGTTTGGGTCATGCATGCATTAGTCCAAAACTGTTATCTTTGCTCTTGACCACTTTAAAAAGGTCTTGTGCAACAAATTTGCCTAATGCAATATGTTGTTTGATTTCTTCACTGCTGCTTCTGTGAGTGTTGATTGTAGACCCAAGCAAAACTAAGTCTTTGACAACTTTAATTTTTCTCCTTTTGTCATGATGTTATTTATTAGTCAAGTTGTGAGGATTTTTGTTTTCTTTACGTTGAGGCGAAACCCACACTGCATCAGTAAGTATTTTAAGTTCTCGTCACTATTAGCAAGCAAGGTTGTATCATCTGCATATCACAGGTTATTATTAATGAATCTTCCTACAATCCTGATATCACAGCCGTTCTTCATAGAGTTTAACTTCTCAGGTTATTTGTTCAGCATACAGATTAAATAAATATGGTAAAAGAATACAATCCTGGCATGCACCTTTCCTGTATCCCCTTGTTCTGATTGAACAACTGCCTCTTTTTCTATGCACAGTTTCCTCATGAGCACAGTTAACTGTCTGGAATACCCATTTTCACAATGTGAACTGTGGCTTGCATGATGCACAGTATCAAAAGACTTTTCATAGTTAATAAAGCACAAGTAAATATCTTTCTGGAATTCTCTGCTTTCATCTAAGATTCATCTTAATAACATTGATCATCTTAATAACATAAGAAATTATATTCCTACTTCCATATCCTCTTCTGAATTCAGCTTAAATTTCTGGCAGATCTCTGTTGATGTACTGCTGCAGTGGTTTTAGAATTATCTTTAACAAAATTTTACTTGCATGCGATATTAGTAATATTGTTCAATGATTTCCACATTCCATTGGTTTACCTCTCTTTGCATAATGGTCACAAATATGATCTCTTCCAATCGGTTGGCCAGATAGCTGTCTTCCAAATTTCTTGGCATAGATGAGTGAGCGCCTCCAGTGCTGCATCAGTTTGTTGATTTGTATTCTGCCAACTCCTGGAGCCTTGTTTATCACCAATGCCTTCAGTGAAGCTTGGACTTGTTCCTTCAGGAGCACTGGTTGTTGGTCATATGTTACCTCTTGAAATGGTTGAACAGCAACCATTTCTTTTTTGGGACAGTGACTCTGTGTATTCCTTCCATGTTTTTCTGATACTTTCAGCATCATTCATTATTTAGCTCATGGAATCCTTCAATATTGCAAGCCGAGGATTGAATATACAGTCCTGGACATTTCTTCACCCCTTGACTTATAGATGGCCCTATAAGTCAAGACATCTATCTTTGCCCATTTGTGCATGTGTGTCAATGTCTATGCTGCTTTTTATATAACTCAGAACTGATTACGTATGACTCACGTGGTTGATTTTATAACATTAGCTTTATCATGAAACATGATTACATTAAATTGCATTATTTTATGTAAGTGATCGCATTGCATTAGATTCCATCCACAAGGATAGGGATTAGAATTTAAGAACCTATTTGGGGAAATATAATTGCGGTGCTGTAGAACAAGTACTGAAGTGCTTCTTAGAAACCATATACAGGGTCTCTGTGAGTTGGAACTGACTCAATGGCACTTAACAACAACAACAATTCTAGTCACAACAGTGGGTCATCCCTTCAGCTTCATTGAGGGATATTAGTTGTGATTTGTCTATATTTAATCACATTTTAAATGGTAGCCAAAACACTGTCATTGTTACTTTTGCAAACCTTTGTCTCAGGGCCTTTCTGTGTCTTGTTGAAGATGAATGTGAGCCATGAGTGATGGACTCTGTGTTCCACAGGTATTTTTATTATTTTAGTCAACAAAAGTATACCGAGCACCCACTCAGGACTTATAGTATAGAGAACAATGCCCGGTAACTCCTAGAGACTAGAGTTAGGCCAGAAAGTTACCAAAATTTTTAAGTGCTGTCAAGGAAATCTCAAAAGTATGCTGGAAAATTATGACAAGGGGCCTGGTTATAGTAGAGAATAAATGAAGATTGTCTTGAGGACATGGCATTTAAACAGAGACTTGACATTGACAAGGAATCAGAGAAGATGGCCAGGCCTGGTTAGGGTGAAGGAGGGACGAAGAAACCAACCCATTTAAAAGACCAGTGGAGACAAGATGAGCATTTAGTCAAACTGACCACACTTACCTACCTGTCAGGGATGCTAGGAAGTGTGGTCTGAAGGTGACTGCACAGTTTCAACTATATTGCCATACTGAAAAGGGGCTAATGGATTTTGTTGGAAGGAACTCAAGATATTTGTCAAACTGGAAGAAAGTTGGTGTAGCTAGAGCCCCCAGAGCCTAAGGAAGACCCTTAAGAGATGAAGTCAGAAAGGAGGCAGGGCTGGTCCATGCAAGACTCTGCAAGCTATGCTAGTTCATCTGGATTCTGTCCTGATTGGTGATGAAGGTGCTGGAAGTCACTCTGGTAGACTAGATTTGTGGAGCCATGGATCCCAGTTAGGAGGTGTCTAATGTCATAGTCCTGCTTTAACCAATAACCACAAACTGGGTGGCTTATAAAAACAGAAATTTATTGTTTCACAATTTTGGAGGCTAGAATTCTAAATTCAGGTTGCTGGCTACACCATACTGTCTTTGAAGACAGAGATTCTTCCTTGTCTCTCTACTTTTGCTAGTTCCAGGTATTCTTGGACTTGTAGATGCATCTTATGCATCTTCCCATGAATGTGTGTCTCCTCTTTTATAAGAACACTGCTCAGGTAGATCACACCCTACTCTGATATGACCTTGTGTTAACTGACACTATCTTCAAAGACACTATTTACAAACAAAGTCAAGTTCACAGATTCCAGGGATGGTTTTGAGGGGCATAATTCAATTTATAACAGAAGTTTATAGGATAACACTCAGGATATTATGGCAAAGTCAAGTCTGAGTGTCAACCAGGGACACAGGACACATCTCTCTTTTTAGATAACATGCTCTATTACCTCTATACCTTAATTGCACTTTGTCACATTTCTATATAAAAGATACGGCCTTAAATCAATCATTCCTGCGTTATTTTGACTTGGAAAGGTTAGCAACTGCTTGTTGAGTTCAGACTTAAACTCAAGTATTGGTATTTTAGGGTAAGCACAGGACTGCAATGTCAATTTGAACCACAAGGTTGGCAGTTCAAACTCACCAGTCGCTCCTTGTAATCCTTATACTGGCCTGCTATGAGTTGGAAACGACTCAATGGCACTTAACAACAACTATGCATCTTACTTGCCTGGGGCAAAGGCTATCCCTCCTGCTAAGGCATGGCCATCACAGCTCTGGAAAGCAGGGAACTTTCTGTCACAGAAAGGCAGTTTCCTAACCAGAGTCTTCTTGGATTCTCTCTGCCTGCCCATTCCCCAACACCCCCCACCCAGATGTTGCTCAATATTTGCAGTGAGTCTCAGAGTCTTGAAGGACTTGTCTCAGGAACTGAACTTCAGTCTTTACTGATTGCCACGACCTGCCTTCGGGAGTACTGCTGCAGCTTTTGGAAAGAATCTACCTTCTGCGTGCTGAGAGCAATCTCCAAGACCCAGAACCCCAGTGTCATCCAGTACCTGCAGGGTATGTCACTAGGAGACCAGGTGTGGGCTGTGGGCCATGGAAGAGTTGTCCTTGAACTCTCAAGGCAAAGACTGGGTTCATTTTATATGAGATCATGAGAAATGAATAAGCAAGATTTTCACTGATGTGAACTATATCCAGTAGATGGCACTACACTGCTCCATTCATAAAAATGGTTTTATTGTTCATCTTGATTCATTGAAAGATGAAAGGGTCAATTCACTGATTACATGGCTAATATTCAGCATACAGGGGCAGGCCCATTTGCTGTCTGATTGGTGTCTTTGATATAGATTTTCATGCCATTGTGAAATGAAAAAACCTGAGATAAAGAACAATGAGGAATTTGCCAAATCAGCTATCAGTTCTGGGGATGCGAGATTCTGGTGTCTCAGGTTCTATTCAGAGACAGCATGTTCAGGGGTTAAGGCCATGGACCACTCGGGGCATACACTAGCTCTACTCCTTTTGGCACTTAATTGCCTATCCTCTCATCTATCTAATGAGAGTAATAATACTTCTGATCTCCTTAGACTGTTATGATGATTAAATGAGTTGCTATATTTATAGTGCTTGCACAGTGCTTGGCACATGATGAGAGCACACAGGTATTTCCTGGATTTAATCAAAGGCAAGACACTTGAGGAGCCTACTTCAGTAGCAATAACAGGGGCATCCCTTCCATCATCTGCCTCCCCAGGGCTACAGGTAATGCTGAGAAATGTGGAGCCTGCTAAGCTTATAGAACCTCAGGAACATGTATTGACCTCCTCTCAGCTGCAGACCCACTGCAGGGCAGGCAGGGAATCTTGGCAGACTGGCTCCAAGGAGAAGATGCTGAGGGGAAGGTTCATTTCAGTTCACCTCTCCCCTCGCTTGCCACTGTGTCATTTCTTAATCTCCATTAGTTCAAGTGTCTCTTGGCAATACAGCACTCCATGTCTTGGGCTAACTTAGTTGGCCTCTTTGGGGAGAGGTGGGATCCAAGTCCAGTGTCACCTGCTTATCCAGAACCACTTGCTCAGTGGCTGTCTTCTTCCTTGGTCCTCCTGTGACAGCTTGTCTTGTCTATTCCTGACAAACTGGGCCCTGAGTTGAGGCATGGACCACAGTTTAGGGGTTCAAAGCTCTTGGTAAGGCCTGGCCCGCAATACTTACTCTTCTGTTTTGTATCCAATTGCCTCACAGGCCTGTATGTTCCTTAAAGATGCTGAATATTAAGAGTGGAGGGCAAATCCACTGCCTTTCCTCAGTATGACTCAGATTGCCATGGGGAACCTTCTTTTTTCATGCAAGAGTCAACAGAAACATGCTTGGATTCATTCCCATTGTTTCCTAACATGCAGTTTAAAGGGGGATGAGGAGGGTACTGCGCTCCTATAGGACTTTCAGTGACTGATGATAAACAGTTCTGTTCTCACATATGTGGGGTCCCATGATCAGTATTGATTTAATGGCAGCTGGGTTAGTTTGGATTGTGAGGGGAGTGCTATTGCCTCTGAATTGAATGGGATGTATTTTCCTCTGGCAGCCATGGATTGTGTTAAGATTTCCCTCCAGAACCTCTCCCGACTTGCAGACACATTCTCAGTTCCAGAGATGAGCGAGGCTATTGGCCTCATCTTGGGCTTTGTGAAGGATTCCTACCCCATCTCTTCAGATTTACTCCTGGAGTTTGAGAACGGAGAGGGCTACCCTCTGCTGCTTAAAGTGCTGCTTCGGTAAGTTTCTGTCCTTGGTAGGGGACACAACAAAGCTGCCCAAACACAGGTGTTCTGTCACTTGAGGGCCTTTGGAAACAGACAGATAGGAACATGGGAGTGGCAAGGGAGACCTTGATGTGAGACATTAGTGACTTAGTGATTGAATTCTCATCTCTCATATGAGAGCCCTGTGTCTGATCCTGGTCAGTGCATCTCATGCACAGCTACCACCTGTCTGTCATTTGAGGCTTGTGTGTTGCTATGATAATGAACATGACTTTAGTGGAGCCTCCAGACACTAAGAAGAAAAACCTGCTGATCTACTTCACAAAATAACCATTGAAAATCCTATGGAGTGAAACAGTCTGACCTATAACCAATCCTGGGAATGGTGCAGGACTGGTCAGTGCTTTTTTCTGTTATGTGTGGGGTTGCCATGAGTAAAGGCTGACTTGATGGCAGCTAACATAATCAATGTGTGTCCAGGTTTGAGGATCACTTTACTGGAGAATTAATCAAAGGGTGATGCAGTTTTACCAAGTCTAATTGGTGCCCTACACAGATCCCCTTGGCATGTCCCATCTCCATGCTGACAAACTTGACTTCCACCTGTCATAACCTGCATCTCTGTGTGGCACCACTATAACCTGCTCTACTGGGTACTTGTTGGGGGTTAGAGGTGCCAGGGATTTAACAACCACCAAGAGATTTCTTAGCCAATGACTAACATGAGACAATGGATAAGTACCCAGCAAATTTGTCCCTTAATTGGGATCGCTCTATGATGTCTCCTGGAATTCTCCAGAATTATGCTCTGTTGATCAATGTGTATTTGATTGGTAAATGTCTCCTATTGATGTCCTTCCATTCCTTATCTCATATGGCCTCTCCCCAAGTGGTAATTTTTTGGGTCAACTTCCAAACAAATTACTTTATATCAAATCCTTGATTCTTGGTAATTCCAAAAGAAGAAGAAACACTGATAGGTATGGACTCAGTGAGGTACTATCTCTGAGCCTGACTTGCCGTGTCATTTTCATTTTATGTCCTGGTATTAGATAGAGGCAAGCAATGGAAAACAAAGTCCTTGATGGTCCAAACATTTCCACTGATCTTGGAGAAACATCTGAAGGGCCTAGCCAAATGAGCTTGACTCATTTGCTCTAAGACTATGAGAAAGACTTCTCTGTGGGGATGCAACTCACGAATATACCTCTTTGATTTCAACACCCAAATATTCAGAATCTAGAGGAGGGGACTTGTAAGAGGGTATGAAGGCCCACAGCCCTCATAGTCCTCCAAAAGGATATGATTCAGTGACAAGTCTCAGAGTCTTCCTCCAAGGGGATGCTAGAAGTAAATGTTACTGTGGGTACATAGGAGTCCTAGTGTGGCACTGTAAGATAAACAATGGACTGCTAATTGTAAGATCAATGATTCAAACCCACCATCTACACCTTGGAAATTCTATACAAAGTTGCTAAGAATGGGAACTGACTCCACAGCACATAACAACAACAATATGGGCACATAAGGGAAACTGTTGTGTTTTCCAAAATGGATCATGAGTTAGGAGTTTAACTTCCAACCTTTTCACAGGGTAGCCTCTCCTCTTACCCTTTCTTATGTGGCCTCTTTAGAAATCTTTGCCTGCAATCTCCTTTTATGGGGATTCAAAGGCTCATTTAGGCCAGAGAATTGATGTATTTAGGATATTTGAGGGTTAATTTCAACATCTTGGCAACTTAGTGGGGAGCTTGCCCCACAATGGAGAAGATAAGGCTGAGAATGGAGTTCAGACCTTCACAGACTCCTGGCTCTGCATGGCTCAAATATTTCATTTTGGTGCCTGAAGAGACAAGCAGTTGAGTCTCATGTCGGAGTAGATGCTGTTTTTGCTTCTTAGAACAGCTTTATCTTGCTATCTATCAATCTCTTTGTTTTCTTTGTCCTCAAACTAGTTCTATTTTTAATTGATTGGGTTTCATCTCTTGGTGGCCTCAATGCATCTCTTCTGACTCAGAACATGTATAGATGTCCACATGCTGTTCTGTAGATACATCCACCTGGGGCTTCCTCTCAACTTTAGTCTATTTAAGTAGGTGTCTTATAAGTACTGCAGGGCATTAATGCTGGTGTTCCACCTTATTACAGTGTTGCTATTTTAATGAATATTGGCAATCTTGAAAGAGAGAAAGACAGACATAAGAACCCAGCACTGATATGCACAAGGCTATCGACTAAACTATTGTACATTTTCAGTTTGCCAGGGCCATCATTTCTTGCCTGTAGTAATCACAGAGGCCTGTGCTTTAGAAGTTTTTGACATTTCTTTGGTTAAATAGGTGATTTTGTTCAAAGGAGTGTTGGGAAGGGCCCCTTTCAGCCCATTGGTTTTTCTTCTAGCTTAACTGAACTCATACTGAAAGTTCTATCTTGAAGTTGTTGTTGTTGTTATGTGCCATCGAGTCGGTTCCGACCCATAGCGACCCTGTATAGGGTTTCCGAGGGTGTAAATCTTTACGGGAGTAGAAAGCCTCATCTTTCTCCCACAGAGCAGCTGGTAGTTTTGAACCGCTGACCTTAAGGTTCGCAGCCCGATTCGTAACCACTACGCTACCAGAGCTCCTTGAAGTAGAAGACCTAAAATCAGTCTTTAGAAATCTCAGTGAGAAGAACAAGGCAGCCTACTTACTGAAGTTGTTTTTGTGTGTCATTGAGTTGGTTCCAACTCATAGTGGCCCTACATAGTGCTTTTGAAGAGTGAGTGGTGAGTTTGAACTGCTCCAAACTTGCAGTTAAAAGTCCAGTGTTTATCCTAAAGCACTACACCAGGACTCCTACTTATCTATAAAATAGTTAAAATAAAAACAATGCTGAACATGAAAACAAGTATAAAGAAGTCTGATAAAGTCCTGTTTTCTTTCATGATGTCTACTTTATTGTTTTATAAAAACATCCCCTCTTTTGCTTTGGTATTTCTCCAGCCCTGCTGGTACACTAAACCTGGGTCTTTTGGACATGTAACCCTGGAAATTAGCCTGCACATAAACAGATACTGTAACTTCTCTAGGTTCCTCTGTGTCTGGATTGCAGATTTTTAGGCCTAAGACTGATGTTTGTAAACTGAATGATGCTCATCCAGGGCATCCCATTGCCTTTTGATGCTAAGTAGCCTCTAGGGTGATTCCTTTAGAGTCTTTTCCAGGGCTCCTAACCTGTACTGCTTCTGCTCCCCTGTGAGGAGCACTACAGGAAATGTAGCTGCTTAATCTAAGAATTCCAAAGGAATCAACTTCATTGTCCCCACAGGTTTGATGGGCTTTCCCAGAGTGAAATGGACCCTCACTTGGAAGAGCTTTTCAGGCTGGTGATGTGGTTGACAACGTGTGGAAGGTCGGAGCTGAAGGTGTTTGACAGCATCACTTACCCACAGCGTGAAGGCTTCAAGTTCCATCATGAGGCTCTTGGTAGGTCCTTCACAGGTCTCTGCTGAACCAGCAGCAATTGATGGGGTGCCCTGACAAGGTTACACAGGTATTTTCCTGAATCTTTGTGTAGAAAACACACACACACACACACACACATACACAAAGCCCACAACATTTTTTAAGAAATGTTTTATTGTCAATTATGTGATAGTTTACATGGGAGAACATTAGTTTTACATTCATTCTATCGTATATCGTCTCATTGCCATGGTTACAATCCCCTCTATGCATCATCAACCAGCCAAAGT